TTTTTTTCAATTTATATATTAAATTTTTCTCTTTGCAAAAAAATAATGTTAATATGTTGAACAGCTAGCTTGATAATGGTATTGGAGAAAGGAATACTACAAATACCTTTCATTTCTGAAGAATTTTATACTTTTTATGTTTTTTACTTGATGTTCTCATTCTTTTTATTTTTTATAATTTTTTTCTTTTTGTATTAGAGCTTAATGGTTATATTCTAATTCTTATATGAAAATGACTGTAAAAACATACTGGGTTAAATGAAGGGCAAACCCAGGCTTAGAGGAACTGTATTTATGTGGTATTAGAAAGCAGGGCTTAGGCATTATGAAAAGATAAATGGTTCAGGCATTTTAAGAAAATGGCCACAATCTATTTTCATGTATGTCACATTTGGTGGCAGGATGCCAGTATTGAATTGTCTTTTAATATAAACTTCATAGTTGCTAGTGGTGAACATTATAGATGCGAGAATTAAAAAATGACAATAATACATAATTTAATTGTGTTTAAGCAACTCAAAAAACAGTTTCATGTTTGGGTTTTGAAAATTTTAAATAGAGTTACCTTGTGATTTTTACCTAATAATTTTTCAAAGCATATTATATCATCTGTAAAGAATGTGATATCATTCCAGATATTTCAGAAACATGTAGATTACATCATTCAAGAAATAAGAAATTAAGCATTAACAAGTACATTAGGTACAACATAATATTCATGTTATTTTTTCAGTTATGGAAGCTACATAGAAGGGACAGGATCTGTGTTACAGACGGCAGAGGATGTGCAGGTACCCTGGATGTTTTAAAACTGAAATATTTTAAAACTTTCAATAATGTTACATCAGCTGGTGGTATAGCTCAGTAGTAGAGTGCTTGCTTAGCATACACAAGGCCCTGCACAATACCCAGCACTGAAAAAAAATATTATTATTATGCTCAGCATTAGTAGTACTTGCTTGTAATCCCAGCTACCTGAGAGGCTGAGGAATGAGAATCTTGATCAAGGCCAGCCTGGATAATGTTGTCAGACACATTTAAAAAAAAATCTACATTTGATACTTAATTTGAGATTGTCAAAACAATTTTACATGTTCAATTGAGAATGAATACTTTACATGTTCAGCTAGGAATAAATATGTTATTCATTTATGTACATATATTCATATAATTTCTTTGGTATAAGATAAGTCTTATTGCTGTGTATGTGCTTATGCATAAGGAAGGTTTTGTTTTTATTCTTACTTTTGTTATTCTTATATTCTGCATTTCTTTTTTTCCCATAAATAGTAAGTTGAAATTTAGCCTACACTAGTGAATGCTCTAAAATTTCTATAGGCTTGTTAATATTGGAGTCCTCTTTTGTAGCACATACTATAAAACTTCCTTTTAAGGAAAACAAAATCTGTTTTAGCAATATACTTTTTAAATTCTTTAGTTGTAAACTCTTCATGGTGTTCAGGTTGAATATATGCCTAGTAGTAAGTTTTATAATTTTTAAATAATTTTAAGTCCATATTATCTTCTTTTATGCTGATTCAAACTCTTAACTATTAATAAAATTTACTCAGGATAAAAATAGTATCATATGCAAATGAAAGTCTGGATTTGAGAAATCATTTAATATATTTTGCCATTTTAAGAAAGTTTCTTAATTGGATGAAATTGATGATCAACAACAAATATTTTCAATGATCTTATTAGCATTGTAAAATTGGCTTTGTTGGTTGACCTAATTTCCTTTATATCTTTCAGTATATTTCTGTTTTGTAATATTGTCAATGATTATTTATATTATGATTAATTTTAAGATACCAAAAATGGCAGATATACTGGAAAATATCCTGATCAATGTTAGCCTTTTCTTCTTTTTACAGTTTAGATTGCCATTGTTGAGACAATTATCTACTTTATTACACAGAGACACTTTTTTGCCCATGCATTTTGCTACCATATATTAGGGCAGACTATATATCCACCTTCTTTTTTTCTTTTTTAAAATTTGTTATTTTTAGTTATACGTGCCAGTAGAATTTATTTTGATATCACACATTACATAGAGTTTAACTTCTCATTCTTGTGATTATACATGGTGTGTAGTTACACTGGTTGTATATTTATGTATGAACAAAGGAAAGTTATGTCTGATTCATTCTACTTTCTTTCCCATTTATGTCCATCTTCTTAAAGCTGTCTCACTATTGGAAATCTTAACAAATATGTTTCCACACTACTTTTTCAGTTATCTTAGATGTTTTCTTACAGATTGAGAGTATCTACAAATCCCTTGGCAATTTGCCACAAGAAGAAAAGATAACAAAGTTGTCAATGCTTAAACTGCGATATTTTACTCCTAAAGAAATAGCAAATCTCCTTGGATTTCCTCCAGAGTTTGGTATGTGGGATCTGGTAAACCTCATCTTTCATTTATTGAAATTCTCAAAATTCATTAGAGAATTTTCACATATATATATTATGAGTAAGCCCTTGCCCACACAGGTAGTTTAAAGAAACTTCCTTTCCTAATTGTGCCATTGGGGGCATTTTCCTGTCCTCTTTACCCTTTCCCTAAGAATCTGCCTTTCAGTCTATTCCCTTCTGACTCAGTTTGCTCTCTCCTTTAATTTTAGTAATGGGTCAGAGTTTAAATGAGCAAATCAACAATTCCTTACTCTCCCACTAATGATTGTTAAAGCATCTTTTTTTTTTCAGCTTATCATCTTGCTTCCAGATGTCTGTTTTTTTTAACTTTCATATTTTTTAATTGTTTTTTAAATATACATGACAGTAGAGTTTATTTTGACATATTATATACACATAGACTATAACTTATTCTAATTAGAATCCCATTCTTGTGGTTGTACATTATATAGAGTTTCACTGCAGAGGTTTGATTTTAGTAAATCACA